CACTAAGTACGGGGACTTGGTCCCTATACACTGGAGCGCTGCGCTCAACGACGGGTGAACTCTCCACACATTGACATGCACACTAGCAGGGGGAGCACAACCTTGAGTGATGGCAGCACAAAACTTCTCTTCTGCAACGCCAACCCGATACATACAACATGCTCCATTGCACCCAACAGACCGTTTACTTCGCACCCGCGCTGCTGGAGGACAAGCGCAAACCACCGACTGTCGAAGACCCGTATTACCTATCCAGGATTGAGGGTCGCAGTCATAATTAAAACCACCTGTGAAAAGCTGCTTGCGTAGCTGCAAAGTGGCAACAAGATGACTCTGTATATCGCATGCCCTCGAAATGTACGGCTGTAGTTCCTGTACTTTTGCCTTGAAGGCTCGCGATGCCAAATCCCGGGCCAATTTGTCAGCACGCGCATTATTCTCAGTGAAGAAAGGCGCTTGGATGGTATCACTAACACTTCGATGAGCAGCAACTTTGACCACATCAATGGAAACCCCCTCACGTTTCCAAACTTCTTCCAAGAAACATAACCACAAGTCATGGTTATCAAAAGTCGCGATGTCCTCAAGCCTATAGCCATCGGCCTTCAAAGAACAAGCTCTATTGACCACGTTCGCGCAATCAGATGCGATACGGACCGGTCCGGTTGTGAGCTTGAGAGCCCATACAACTGCATATAGCTCTGCTCTTTGCGACGTGTGATCATCTCCTGGAAGCAAAGTCACCTGCTCTAATTGACCTGGGATTACCACTGAAGCTGCCGAAGTACGGAGATGTTTCCACGTCTCGTGAAAGGCACTGCCGTCCACAAAAACTGGAACTTGAGTTTCTACTGTGCTTGTAACATCCGGAAACGTGACTTCTGATGAATACGATTGCGCAGCTTCGCTTGGCATGAACATGATCCCGGTCGACCATGATAACAAACTTTCATTACCACGAACTGGTCGCGATTCAGAGTAACAAGGGCACTCAACAAACAGATGTTGATGAGTTTCACGAACATCGCATTCAGGACAAACATCCGTATCAACCAACCCTGCTGCCGCTAACCTAGGGCCTGTGTAGATTGCCCCTGTCAATAAGAGATCAAGAACAGCTTGAGCGTGACTGAAATCACACGGAAGCCGATTCAGAAAAGGCTGCACAAACTTGAAGGTTTCTTCCTTATCGAAGGCGCCGTCTAACAGGAATCGAGTGAGAAAGATATCAACATTTAAGTTCTCAGGCTGCGTTGGGCAGTCATGTCTATCCCTCACTTGGGAAATTAGGTATCGACGCACAGCAAACCCAACACGCTCCTGAAAAAACTGGTTACTCCCAGAGTCGAGGCCAAAGAAAGAGCCGTCTGGCAACTGCAACTTTAGATTGTCTGGGTCATGGATGTCCCACTGCAACTCCCTACAAAGAAAAGCCACAACTGATGCGATGCCATTGCTAGTCTGCGTCACTTTGTTTTTCAAAGGTTTGGCCCGATGCAAGATTTTGATGACTAGTGCGCGGTTTTTACGTGACATCTTGCGCAGCCTACCAAACGTGTGGAGAGCCCATTTCCCGAAAGGGTCGAGAAATGGATCCTCCCTCGTAGCTAGGGTAAGGAAAGGGGATCGCACGCGGTTTCGTTTTGGGACGATGCACTTAACCACTGCTGCTCTAATACTTCTCATGCTTGCGGCTGAAGGGGCTTGAACCTCAGATCCATAAACCCACTTTGAGTGCGCATTTGCATGGACATGAAACTGCTTTTGTTTAGCAGGAATGGGTAACGTAGCAATCTTCTTCAAAGTTTCGCAGGCTTTACGGGCTTTGTTATTCTGAGCCGCTGGTTTTTTGGAACCTTTAAACCCTTGTGCAAAACCCAAGGAACGCACATTGCTCTTAGATTGGTATTGCCGACCAACATCCCTCAGAAAGCGTTTTGCTCGAGCCTTTCGTTTGGCTAACACCGCTGTTTTTTCACCATTAATGACCTGACCAACTGCACTATCAAACTGCTCAGCTTCGCTAAGGGCATGTTTCAACTGGTTTTCGTTATCGGCGCCCGTCCAAAACTTCGCATCATCGATAAAAGACCTGAACGTGATGGCCGGACAGACACCCTCAACATGCTTAGCGAACACAGCATACATGGAGTTCACCATAAGAATACTGAGACTGCAGCCTTGAACAGCAGAGTTGGAACACATCACTCTGCTACCGAAGGCGGTGCCCAGTTTGAAAAACTTGACCTGTTGAGAATAGAACCCTAAAGCAGCTCGGTGAACATTCACGGGTAAACCAAGCCTCAGCGCGATTCCCAAACTGACTTGAGGAATAACCAAATCGAAGCACTTAAACCTATCCAGAAAAATACCCATCGTTTCTGAAGTGGTGTCATGCAAGTCAAGGGATAACTGCCACTCAGATTCTTCAGCATTCCTGCCGTGCAAACCTCCTATGAGACAAGGTGGAAACATGGAAGACTGCCATTGCATTAAATGCTTATATCGAAGGGATGACCAGAGGGAATACACAACGGAAGCCACCCCTATGCATCGCACATTCTTGGGCTCACTCATATCTACACCCTTTGAGATACTGGCTACGCTAATCAATCTAATGACCTGCGGCCACTTACCAGTAGCCTCAGCCAACCGCATTGTAAAAGCGAAGGGTACCCATCCACATGGGGGAAGCTGCTGAAGCTCCTTGACTTGCCATCCATCTAACCCTGAAGCTTTCAAATCAGACTTCTTTTGAAAGGCCTTGAACAACGCCTGATGATCAATTGGAGGAACAACAGCACCACAAGCCATACCGTCTATAACATGCTGGTATTTTGCATAGAACTCCTGCTCAAGCTGCTGGAAATTTTGATCGCGATGATGGTTGTAGATGGATTCCATGTGATCACTGAGCATTTCGAGCATCTGATTTGTGTCAGCCGTAATTCCCCCGTCGTTTGTACGGAAAAACTTAGGCGCTCCTACACGCTCCTGTTTCAAGTATCTGTGAAGGGCACGCTTGTCGCCGCGCGCGGCACGTTGCATGTTTTGTTTCCATTGTTGTATCCTAATGACTTTCGACTGCCGGTCAACACAATCAAGCTTAGTCAGAACCGTGTCTACGCACCGCTTGCAAGATGACAACACAGTTTCAGGAGAGGTAGAATCAACATCTAAATCACACTGCATGTTTGCACCCAGGCGCAATACGTTACGTGCAGTTGCATGTAGTTGCGAAACCCATTGCGAACTTTTACTTTGATCCCAGTGTTCAGCTTTCTTCCGAAGTTCGTGTAAGCACTTCAATACATGTTGGCCTATACGCTCATGTTTGGACAAATGCTGCTGACGAACCTGCTTAACTTTTCTAAACGCAGGAATCCTACCTCTCGTTGATGGGACAACCTGCTCCGAAATACGGTTTAACATACTCGTAGCAATCCTACACGCGACATCCCAAACATGCTCTACATTTAAATCCTCGGCCGCCTGAGCTAGCTCTTCAACGTAAGACTCCAAGATTTGTGAGCACAACGCCTCGCGCTCATCCCACTGTTGCTGAGAAGCAGGTTTGGGAGGCAAGTTCCATTTAACATGAGGCTTCGCGCACAACACTTCAGCGGAGAATGGTGCGATGTCAAGCGTCAAAATGCATGGACAATGGTTTGGGAGACTGGCATGCCTGTATACGGACACATCCCTAAACAAAGGCAGGGCATGTTTATTTAGAAGAAAGTAATCAATCCGTGTTTTGCCACTACCAGTGAAACCTGATTTCCAGTCTGTTTTGGTAAATGTGGCCTCAACAGTCTTGCCCAATGCTGTCTGTTGTTCGTGATACACATCGAACCAATCATCAGACAACAACGCAGTAACCGTAGAGGGGTTATCAGAAGGTGGGGATTGGAAATCACCGCACACCACAACCGGTTTCGGTCCCAGAGAGGCAGCATACGTGAACAACACATCCATAATTTCAGCGCGCTGCGTGCTCGCTGCTGCGCCTGTAGGCAAATAACAGTTGATGACGTAAACACCTGCACCGCCGATAGCAATCCACAAGCATTGACAATAACATGCCAGGGAAGCAAACCCAGACCCGAAGGCAATATCAACACACTGACAACCACAGGAAATAGCAGCAACCCCCCCAGTAGTCTGCCTAAACCCAGAAGCATTACCGGTCAAAGCCTTCAGCTCCGGCTGTGGTCCTACATGCAGGTTCCAATCGTGTTTGCGGAATTTTGCGCAAAGAGACTTCGTCTCTGCAGCAGGTATTCGGGATTCTTGCATCAGCACGCACGAGGAATCACCCTCAACCCACGTACGAAATGAAATAATCTCATTCACGTGCTTGACACAAGATGTGACGTTTGAAATAACTAATTTGAAAGGTCCTTCTCCTTTGTAGCCTTTGCAAGGCACGAAAACCAACCACATAAAGCCGTGATGGAAACTACACTGGTACATAAGACGAACATTGAGCGCGCAGAGTCGCAGATCATGAGTGTTTCTCATGTAACTAACCGTTGCCTGGCCGTCACCACTACATGGATTCACACAATGGATATGACAAAGCCAGTTTCTGCAAAGGTGTTTACACACAGCCCTTGCAGACAAGTAACGAATTACAGGCCACTGTCCTGATTGAACACTCCCACACGAAGAATCTGACGGTCCATAATAGAGCTGCTTCACAGGCCAGACCAACAATGAGGCATGAGGAGTTTCTTGAGCAACCAGGTTTATGGCACAACACAAAGCTAACAATCGAGTGGCACGCAGCCTTCTTCTCCTCGCAAGTTTTCGCTTTTCGATGCGCGTATGGCACCTGCTGAAAGCTCGCGGACTGTGCTCGGAAACAATAACCAAACAAATAACGAGAGGGATGCGCCCATGAAAGTAAACAGCCCCCACAACAACAAGGAAACCAAGTTCATAGAGGTGGAGAAGAAAGTCAGTCAACCACTGCGATCGGAAAATAAGCCTACTGGGGGCTACTTCTTTTGCACCTTGCTTGGTGGCGAATTGGGCTTACTGGGAGAACTTGCCGCGGCAGAACTACTTCTGAGCTCTTGGATTGCAACCAACAAATTCTTGAAGCCATCATCCTGAGAGGCTTGAAGAGACTTGATCTGGGAGTTGGTTTCTTTTTGATTGGCCTCGAGGGTCCCAATTTGGCTATTAACTTTCATCATTTGTTGTTCCAGCTCCTGAACACGGTTAGCCAAACCGGTGTACGGAACTGCTAGTAATGATGGTCTGGGAGTGGGCACTGAAGATCCTCGTGACTCCGCGGTAGTCGGATGCGAACTTTGTGAAGAGGAACTCACGTTGCCATCAACTTTGTTAGGCCCACTTGCCCACTGACTGTTTTCACCTGACCGGGACACAAAAGCCTTGCGTGGCTTGCGTGCCTCATCTGATATGAGCAAATTTCCCAAACTGGTTGGGACTTTGGAAACGCCGGGCTCAACGTCACTTGCCACAATAGCCACTGCGAGTTCATTCACATGAAACACTCGAACTGGGATCACGTTCCATCCAAAAGCTCGGGTCACCTTGAGGATGTCGGGAAAGTTAACACCTGAAGGGAAACCAGAGATCCTGAAGTGTTTCGCAGCTTTCATTCCAATGTTTCCGTCGTCGAAGCGGGTGTCCCCCACATACCAGTGACTGCGCGCATCCTTGATGTGAGCATCCGCAACTCGGACATAGTAGGCCCCTTGCGTGGAAAATACCCCGAGGAATCCAGCCACATTTTCACCATACTTCACAACAGACGAAAGGTCATCACCCCCATTGTCAACCCTCAGAACCTCTAACCCGGGCTCTGGCGGATCAAACGGCCGCCTCGCAGCTCTAACTTGTACGGAGTTCTGACCGGACTTGCAGTAAAGCATGTCTCTGGATGAGGGTGGGATCATTGCTCTGCGCATGAAGTAGCCTGACTTCTCCACTACCCTGTTCAAGACCGTCTTCTCTCTGATGCCCGCGGCTTTTACAAGCGCCTCCACATACAAAGTGAACGCTGCAACACTGCCATACGATTTCCAATCAGCTTTTGATGCATCGCACTCACGAAGCTCAAAGTACACCGTAAGCTTGCTTTCATCACTCAGCTCTAAGGCACTGTCATCATGCGTCTTGCACAGGAAATCCGTTTCGTCAGACGCAGCATTCACCACTGTAACGGCTCTACTCTCGTCACTGTTACACACACCGTCCCGCAGCGTGAGTACCAACTGAGAGATCCTAGGCTCCTCGGTTCCTATCGCCAGCACCTTCTGCTTGACGAAGCCCTTCAATATGAAAGCCATGGGTTTCATAGTGCGAATGTGCATCATCTCCTGGAACTTCACGAAGGTAACAAATGATACACCTGTGGAGCTATCATGTACTTGATCGGCGGGCACATTGAGCAATTCAGAACAAGCCATACCAGTAGGCAACGACAGCTCGGAGCAATCTGCCAAGGTCAGACCAATTCTGTTCCCATTGCTCTCCCATGGGGCACGTTTCTGAAAGGAGTTCATTACTCGGAAGGAGGACGCATGACGACCAATACCACATGAGGCACCAGTGCAGGTAGACACTAGCCCGTAAGATAAAAGCACCACCAGTGCGATGCGAACGACACAAGCCAAGGTACCCATTAGTGCTTTCTACCTAAAGCCTTCCAGCTACACCACGTGGAGGTTGGTACCGTAGTAGACCCCAGAGGCCTCGCCTCAGCTCGATAGCCGAGACAGCTGCAATCTAGGGGCCTTAATAATTAGAATAAGGCTTTGGGGTAGATTATACTATAACTATAAAAACGAACCCCCCAAAAATAGTCTTGGCAATTATTTAGACCCTTATAGTAGGGTTCGGAGTTTAGGGGATATGATTTGCTCCTGTCCGCGGGAAGCTCTGAGAAAGGCTGCAAAAACTGCGGAGGAAACGCTGCAACGAAGCCCTAAACCCTAATCCCTAATCCCTTAACCCTAAACCCTAATCCCTAAACCCTAATCCCTAAACCCTAATCCCTAATCCCTAAACCCTAAACCCTAATCCCTAAACCCTAAACCCTAAACCCCTAAGCCCTAAACCCCTAAACTTCCGAGCACCTGACTATCCTCGATCTCCTTCGCATAGTCGTCGTAGTCTCCCTGCGCACGGAGTTTTGCCGGTCTTCAGCTCCCATACTGCGTACTCTTGATAAAAATGTTGATAGGGTTTTTGGGGTTTAGGGTTTAGTGTTTGATAGGGTTTAGGGTTTAAGGTTTAGGGTAATTATTCTACAGTTATTAAAAGGACCCCCCCCAAATGGTAAAGGTAATGATTTTAAGTCCCCTGTAGTAACAAGGATTGGGGTCTTCGGCAGGCCTTCTGGAGGTCTGAGGTTGTAAACGAATGTTACACTCCCCTCATGTATCCATGCACATCCTCCACCTCTACTTGAGGCGTGTCTGCAGATTCTATTGTTAACCCCCACCCTCCACTCCGCAAGCCCTACACCCTATATGCTCACGGTTACAAGGGGAACAAGAAGGCCAGGGGCCCCAAAATCCACACCGACGATGACTGCACTGCGCCTATGATCCCGTCAGTCGCCTTTGAGTCCCTACAGCCCTGTATAGAAGCCCCTTACAGGTAGGTAGTTCCTCTTCCATAATACTCCCATACGACCCCCTTTACCTTATAGGAGTGGTATGGGAGGCTTATGGGAAACTACCCACCTTATAACTACCCACCTGTAAATGTCTTAGACTGTACCCTACCCACCTCGGCCTCAAACCTAACGGTTCTATGTTTCACTTTAAGGGGTTTGCAATATCCGGGCCCCGACCCCAATCCCCGCTGCTGTATTCCAAACACCAAACCCTGACTCCAAACTTTGCCTGCAAATTCAATCACTGCAAAGAAAATAGTCTACGACCTTTCCACTATGGGGTACGGGGGGGGTACCGCTAAAGCTAAAACAGTAGGGTTTTGGGTGCCCAACCCTACACCGCTACACCCTAAACCCTAACCTTCAAGTCTCGAACTCTTCCACTATGCGGGGGGTTGGAATACTGAGTAATTGTATTCCAACTATAATAACTTCTTTCACCAAAACGATATACTACCCCATACAGCCCTGCAAGGCTGCGATCCGCTAACCCCTGAACCCTGAGCAACCCTACACCCCGAAGCCTAGGCCCGCCGAAACCCCTAAACCCTAAACAGCTAAACCCTAAACCCCTAAGCCCCTAAAGCCCCAAACCCCTAAGCCTAGGCCCTCAAGCCCTAAACCCTTAAGCCCTAAACTTTCAGCCCTACCTATACGACCAACTACCCTCTATGAGACCACAAATACCCCCTATTTGGCACCAGAAGTAAGGGGTCTTTTTGAAGCGCTAAGCCCCAAACCCCAAATCCCGTCATAGAACCCTTATAGAGCCCTTTAAAGGAGCCCCTGACCCCCTATAGATCCCTTTAACGGAACCCCTATAGATCCCTTTAAAGAAACCCCTAACCCCCCTAAGGAACCGTAAAACCTGAAACCTTAAACACCTGTACATCCCTTATACTATGGGAACCCTTTAAATGAACCCGAAAGAACCCCTAAACCCTACAGTAGCCCCACCCCCTAAACCCTAAACCCTCAACCCTAAAGCCCTAAAGTTTCAGCGCGGGCAGGACGCCTGATACTCGGAGCTTCGCCACTCGGAACTCATGGCGGAGGCCAGAGGCAGGCCGTTGAGCCTGCTTTCGGTGGCCAGGGGGGGCTTAAAGGGGGGCTTAAAGGGGGCTTAAGGGGGGTTTAAGGGTTTTAGGAACCCCCAGAATAGTATAGGTAATTAATGAGGCCCCTATATTATAGTACCCTTATAGATCCCTTATAGTAACCCTTATAGACCCCTTTTAAAGGAACCCTTAGGCTCTATGGCCTGGGTTCTGCGGTTTAGTAAGGCTTTCGGTGGCCAGGGCTTTAGGGGTTTTAGGGGCTTTAGGGGTTTAGGGGCTAGGGGTGTAGGGTTTAGGGATTTGGGCGTTTAGGGTTTAGGCGTTTATGGGTTTGCGGTTTAGGGTTAATGTTGTTGGGGTTTATGGCTTCCTTAGATCTGGCAGGTTTGTTGTAGAGCTTCGTGGCTTTGTACGACCGTACATGGTTCTACAAGGCTTTTGGAGGGCTGTACAAGGGCTCCGAAAGGGCTTTATAGACGAGCTCTACAAGGCTTCGATGATTCAGGTCTTATGCACTTGCACCAGGCTTTGTTGATGGGGTTCATGCAGGTTTTGAGACTTCCACATGGGGTTTTCGAGCTTCTTCAGAGCTTTTAGAGCATGTGGTATGAGGGCTTGGGCAAGGGTCTTGCAGGTTTGAGGATTCTATACTGAACTTAGAACCCTGGCAAAAATTATAATTTTAGCTGTTTCTTAGGGAGTATCATAACCAAAAATTAAAAAATATTTCTAAGTACCCCTAAGGATTGAGGAGCTTTTACAGGTGCAGATGTTCAGGTCCTTTCTTGTTCCAAAAGGGTTCTGAAAGGATGAAGCACTACAGGATTTATACGGGCTCTGTGGGCTTGTAGGATGTTGTAAGTAAGGGTACTTTTTTATCACGGTTTGCAACCCTAAGCCGAAAATCTAGGACTTCGTAGTGATTGGAATCACCTCTAAATTACGACTCTTCGTTCCTCAATGACCCTGGCCATATGCAAAAAAAAGTGATTAGGCTTTGGGGTTTATGGTCAAGCCGTAGGAGCACACTGTTGCCCAAATGCTACATGCCACAACTCAAAACGGAAATCTGAAGCCTAAACTTCATAGCACTCCCCTGGAGACCGAAACCCGTTCCGGGGTCCTAGACTTGCGCCGGCGACCAGGTAGATCGAGGGTATAGACCATCTTGAAACCAGCACCTCGTCTCGAACAGTGTCACCCACTATGACTAAACAGGGCCTAATATCCTAGTCTCGCCATAGGATCCCACCAATCTCATCTACCAGTGTTTTCGGACCCAAAACCCAAGTCCGTTCCTGATCCCTGGGTCATGATTGAAACAAACAAGAAGGTCATTCTACTCACATCGCCACAAGTCGGACTATGATGGTTGGTTTCCTCAGGTATTACCACTGCTATCAGTGGACTTCCATTGTTGTTTCTGTGGCTGCTAGTACTATGACTGGCATGTCTCGCCTGCACGGTGCTCTAGCTGATACATATGACTTTCGGCCGGATTTCGCCTAAACTGCTTGAAGGCGTCTTTTTCTCTAGATTCGTTTCGGTAGTTAGTCGGTAGGCAGATTGAAGGAATAGTACCGCTGTTTTCTCAGGACTCAGGATCCGTCTCGTTTCAATGCTTGGCCCTTCTTCAACCCTTAACCCCCGCACCGTTGTGAAACCCGATCCCGTCGCGGGAATCCATGCGGCTAAAAAAAGGGCCATCCAAATAGTTAGAACAGGTATCTCGTCATTTCGTGTATATTGAACTGAAAACCTAACTATATGAGGGACTAGGGGGTATATTAGCGACAACTAGCGTTGCTAACAGTTCCGACCTGTTTGTAAGGGGCTCAGGGTATGTCCAGCCTCAGTCAAGCCCTGCTGTCCCCAATACTGACCGGATCTATAGTATCCAGATACCTTGCTTGTCCTTTCTCTAGGATCCTGACTTCAAGAAAGGAACTACATATAAGGGAACCATAATATCAAAAGGGTTGCTATAAGGGAACTATAAGGGAGCTAGGGAAGCATAAGGGAACTATAAGGGTGCTATAAAGGAACCATAAGGGCATACATGGGAAACAGTCGGCAGCCCAGGAAGTATACTTACTGTGAAAAGAAAGTACAAGGTTTTTCTGTCCCTGACCCTAAACACTCGGTTTCAGGCTTTAGGGAGGCATGTTCGTGGGTTGTGAAGTCAAGTTGCTGAAGCAACAACGCAAGCAAACGAACAAACAAACAAACAAAAACGACAAAGTAACTAACTAACAACAATCTCTAACACCATAGCTGAGGACCCTAGTGCTGTCGCTGCTGTGGCTCCTATTCACGACGGAGACGACGACTGACGACGCCTACTACGACTGCCACGGCGTTGATTAACACTATGGCTACGGTTGGGGCTATGATTAAGATGGCGACTACTGCGTAGTACTTGGCGGTACCAGCGCCAGCAGTGCTACATTCCCCGATATGTGGGTAGTTCTCCAAGGTAGGGCCCCTTTGCAGGTCCGCAAAATTGTACGGAACACTAATAATAAGGGAACCTAAAAGGGGCCCTAATTCACAGAACTGTCCCTGTGCATACTCATCCATCCAGGCATCCCAGCCGACACAGTGCTGCCCAAAGAGGGCCTTTGCCCGCAACATGGCAAAGTTCCGCACCTGGGCATCTGCTTCAGGTTTGATTCTAGGGCCGTTTGGAGCAAAGAGTTGAAGTGTCCAGCACCCATCTTCAGGGGAATTCATGCTGTAGGAGTGATGAAGTTATCCAGTCGACTCTTCCCCTTGATGCATGCTCAGATTTGAGAGTGAATGAAAGTGGCTACACGGTCCGGGGTCTTCGCCATTCCGGCTTAGGGTTGAGGACTTTCACGATCAAATGTTGCGGCGCCGCTTAAGCGAGTTACACGTTTCCTGTTGTGTTAGTTGTCTTGTGTCTGCGTTCCAGGATCCGAACCGGAAAACAACCCGAATCCTGAACATGAGCTGCGAGAGTAGAGGTAAGAATCTCTAGAAGAAAGACTGGTCTTCGACCGCCGGTGGCCTCAAGTACCTAGAACTCGAAGCCTGTTTGACCCCTGAACCCTACCCTTAAGGGTACAGGTATCTCCGGAGGGTCCGGAATCTCCTAGAGAGAGCGCTTGGGTCTCTTTGGGGTCTCAGAACTCCTACAGTTTGAGGTTCCCCGAAGTGTTCGGACCGTTAGGGTAAACCCCTCAACCCTGAACGGACTCCTTTTGGCGGTTCGCAGGCGGGGCTCTCAGGGTCAACCCGGGAGATGAGACTGTTTGGGGCAGGTAGGGAGGGAGGCTCCGCGATGCAGAAGTTAATGTAGGAAGCTGATTAAGAAACCTTGGGCCCTTATTAGGGTTCCTTATATGAATCCTACTATTTTGGGGTTCTAGACCGAGGGTTTCTTAATTAGGTCCCTACATTATTCTAGAAATAGGCTGATGCGACTTTGCATTGGTTCGAGTGGTGTTCTTTGAGTTGTTCGAAAGAGTGGTCCACCCAGTGCTTTACGGTAGCAGCCACTAAGCCACCAGCACAGCGAAGCCCCACTGCCCCCCTTCAAGTGACACAAGGCTCTACGCTTGGGTCAACCCAGTACCACTACAGGTTATACTGTGCGGCATTGTTGAACTAATGTTTGACTGCAGCTATGCCTTGCAGTGTGCACGTGTGTGTATATGAAGATGTATACTCATGCAAACCATAGTCAAGGTTTCTACCCGGATAATCGCAATGTTGCACAGTGACATATGTGGCGGTATGTGTGCATGCAAACAATACTAGCCGTAAGTAATATCGCTACAGTACCTATGTACAAAATGCAAGTGCAATCGTCCCAGCTTCTTGTATGTACGGCTTCACAGCTTATGAGATTTAGAGGGGATAGTACAAGCGCTTGCGATCTGTATGGAGGCTTTCTAACGTGGCGTATACGTAGAACATCATGCTTTTGAGCGTATCACTGGTGGTCTATAGATCCAGCAAGCTTCACGGTAGGTCGTGGGCTAGGGGTTTAGTATCGGCAGCTCTGTTGAACCCTCTGGCTGTCGTTCAATCTACCCTCAAGCCTCTCTTCTAATTGTTGCGGTCCACTCGTCAAGGTTCATGGTCCAGCAAAGTATGAAATATATACGTGTGTGTGTATATGTATATACTTGTATATGCAAATATATATATATATATATATACTATTGTTATTATTATACAGGTCTCCATGTAGGAAAGCCATGGATTCACATCTCTGCTCAATGGCCAGCTGCCCGGCTCGATTGAGATAACACCAGCGTAGATTAGCCTATCGAACCCTACCTATAGGCTCATACCCTACCCCTTTTTTAAGGTACCTACTTTTCTATATAGGAGATCCTAACCATAAAGTTAGGTACCCTAAAAAAGGGGTAGGGTATGACCCTCTAGGTACTTCTTTGTCGGTTCTTATTAGGAACCCTAATATGGAGTTTATAGGGACCCTACCAAAAAGTAGGGTTTGGTAGGTTAAGGTAGGTAGATTACTACACCCACGACCGCACCTACTGCTCCTGCTACTCGTACTGCTCCTACTCCTCCAGTACTCCTGCCACAGCTACTGGTACTACCACTACTACCACTACTACGACTACTACTACTACTACTACTACTACGACTACTACTACTACTACTACTACTACTACTACTACTACTACTACTACTACTACTACTACTACTACTACTACTACTACATACTACTACTACGACGTGACAACTTCCACTAGACTTGCTGCTCTTACAATTCGCACTCCTTACTACTCCTAATTCTCCCTCCAGCCCTACTTCTCCTACGATGAGTGCTCGGCAACTCGGCAACCCAACACTTCAGCAAGTCCGAAGCCGTCAGCTTGTGCAGTTCACGATGTTAGGGGCATGCCGCCAGTTGCCACGGGTGTAGCCTGCAGGCCAGGCGTGCTTCTGCAGGCCAGGCGTGCTTCAGGTATCATTTTTCAGGACCTTTTGAGGGGCCTCTAAGCTATCCTTCCGGATTCTTTTCGTATAAGGGTTCTATGAGGGTCCTGGAAAAGATCCGTAAGTGTCTGAGGCTCAGAATGTAGCTCTATGTTTTCTGGCTCAGGGTTTAAGTGCGGGGGCTTAAGTTATGAAACCTTCAGGCGAAACTATCACCGTAAATTCAGACATTAACAATATTGACTTGCATCTAGTATCATCTAATGCTTCAAGTTCTGTAAAACAACAGCCACAAATAGCAAAACAACCATCACGTGGTAAGAACTAGTAACAGTTCATGCGCTCGCACAGAAAATCATCCAAGCACTGGGCACACCGATAAGCAGAGTCGACTCAATTTTGTGCGCACCACCAGTCGCATGAGTTCACAACTGTGAAGTCCATCTGCGACTTTAAAAGCTTTAGAAAAGACGGTTTGAGAAAGTTTGAGTAGTCCAAGCCAGAGCACCCGAACTACGAAACCCATACATGACATGTGTTTCCTGCGCTTACCATTACTGCTACCAGTTCCGTTACGACTACCTACTACGACGACTACTGCTGTGATCACGGCTGCTAAAAGCTGGCTTTCCCAAAGGCTCCATGTACCTAATTTATAGTAGATACTTGAGCCTTAAAGGGGTCCCCGTATAGGTACTTTAAGGCCTAAGTATATACTATATGGGTACATGGAGCCTTAGGGTTTGACAGATCGAACTTGCGGTTCGGACGTTCGGACCACGGGCCAAGATGGAACTGACGCAACCATTCTGCCTGCCAAGACACGGGGCGCATTCACCAGCAGTTGCTGCAGTTCGTTAAAATTAGGGTTTAGGGTTTAGGGTTTAGTTAAAACCATACTCGTTTCGGCCAGGCTGGTCCCAGTCAAGACCTGATGGTTTGAAACGATTAGGGAACAAAACCTCAAACCGCCGTGCATCTTATGGGCACAAGCACAGCCGCATATACAGCTACACACGCACCAATCTCCGGACCTCTAGACTCATGATGACTTAGGACGGGGAGCCCGGCGCCCCATGTGCATCTTTGCTAGGTCACGATAAGGAATTTAACCAACTGTGTGTTCAGGGTTCAGGGTTTGCGATTTGGGATAGTTTGCATACCTGGCATTTCTCAACAGTAACAGTCGGATAGTGGTGGCAAAATCATAAAACAACGATGGTCGAACC